GTTCTATATCCTCTTGCTTTTGAGTTATGTTCAAAGACTCGTTGAATTTTAATAGTGTTATGTGAAAGAGCCAAGTGAAATCTCACTGAAGCTCCTGGACAAAATCATCACCTTTCATTCAAGATAAATGTAAAAACAAGCAAATTCTTTTATGCAGTCTGATAACTGAAATTGCAGAGGTTATCACAAAAGCAAGAGACGTGGAGCATGTCCACTCCATGAGTTTCTCTAGAACCTGATGCACTTAATGTAGAAAGGCATTAACTAAGGTAATAAAGATTAATAAAGATAAAACATGTAAAACACGAACACATTTTGAAAAACTCTGGTATTGTGATCCTGGAAGAACAAAAGCAGAGAGGGGTTGGGGATAAAATACTGGGTAAATGAGGTTTAGAAAAGAGAAGCCATTGCCTGTTACTTGATTCTGACTGTTACGGAAACACAACTCGGTGCTTTCTTTGTAAATAAAATGGAAGTGTATCAAAGCAAAAGCCCTGTCCTGATGATGAATCCTCTTTTCAGCTGAGAAGAAAACAACCCACAGACCTGGCAAATTGTTTAGCCACTCAGGTGAGAATGGATTACTGCCACATGACAGGAGACATCCAGTTTTCCAGCAAGGAAATTGTAAGCTGGAATTCCCACCGAACCAAAATAGAATCAATGAAGAAAGTATCTCTCAGCTATAGTAATTGGTAAAAAGAGATGAAAACAAGAACAGATGAAATTAAAAGAACTCAGTCAGCTGGAGGCTTTTCAAAATTAATTAAAGGAGTGGCTGGAAAATTTCCAGAGCAGTCTAAGAGATGACATGCAGGCAGGGATGAAATCTCTGTATGAGCTGCAAACAGGGGGGATCCAGACACATTAGGAAGCCCTTTAGCAAAGCAGATCAATGAGGTGACTGACAACAGAACTGCTGCAGGCCAGGAAGTTTTCCAAGAAACAGGTAAGCCAGGAAAGTTGGAGCTAACTTGGACCTTGCTGGTTGAGAGAAGCAAAGGTAGAAGGTGCTCACGAAGTAAACTGACACCTATGGAAGACCTGGGAGTGGGTCTGCACTACCAGACATACAGAAATTCTTGCCAATGTCTGTTGGCCAGCTCCAGTGAGCCAAGCTGGAAAGTACAGAAGAGAAATACCTGTCCTTCTTCCTCACCTTACCAAAGGACCCGGCTTTCCGAAGAGAAGAGAGAAGCTGGACCCCCTGCAGCCCCATCGTGTCCCTACACAGAGATCTGCTCCTCAGGAGCACAGCACGTGGTGAAAGCTGCTCCCTGCCTGACATCCATGACAGCAAGAAAATTCCAAACTGGTCAGAGATCCTCTACAATGACTAGAACTGATGAACTCTGTAAGAAAAGAACTGACAACAAGGAAAAACTGAATTACTACCGTGAAAAGAAACAAAAATCCCTAAACAAGATAAGCATAGATCATGATCTTTTTTGAGGTCTGGACAACCTGAAAACTGGGAGTGGGAGTCTGACTGCTAAGTATCTACAGCACTTGCACAAAAACACTGGGCACCGCATCAGCACAACAAGTTTTATAAGGACTTGCCAACAAAGCCAAAAAAAGGACCATCCAAAAGTAACTCAGCAGTTTGGTCTCAGATAGAATAACAGAAATGTCTATGCGATCAGGTTGAACAGGAGGCACTGCAGAGCAGCCCTAGTGCAAGATTTATGTTCCTCCCAGATGCAGCGGGAAGAGCAGCTTCCAGAGCTCTGAAATTGCTCCCCCTGCCAACAGGCCAAATTTGGTTCAATGTACCACAGTAGAGCTGATCTAAAATAAACGCCCCAAATGAGAACAGTGTGATGTTCTTCAAATCTGCTCCTACGGGGCTGCACTACCTGCTAATGTAGACCTAGCTGCTGATGAGAGGGAGAACATCAATCAGTGCAAGATTCAGGAAAACTGGGAAACTGAGTCTCTGGAATTCAAGGATGAAAGCTACATAATCAGGAGAGAACAGGAGTGTTTTGGAATTTATTACAGGTATCAGCTGTGTAGTAGTGCCAAGAAAGGTGTCTTGCACATTTAAGTAAAATAAAACAGAAAACAGCTTGAATTGCCTTCAGGTGTGGGAACAGTTAAAACAGCTACCTGCTGAGGAGGCCCTTTAGCAAAGGAAAGCAGTGGCTGCTGCCTGCCATGCAATTAGGATTTTGGACACTTAGCAGCAGCTAAGCCTCTGTTTGTCTGCAAAAATAAGAAGCAACAAATCCAGTAAGTCCTGCCCCACGATGCACTGCTAAACTACGTGCTTAAGCATCGTGTATTTGGATGTGGAATAGCAGAAAACTCCCTGGTCTCTCTGGAACTAGACGCTGTTCTCATGATCACGATTTGAGAGGGTCCAGCGTAGGGCCACAAAGACGGTTAAGGGACTGGAATCTCTATCACATGAGGATAGACTAAGCGAGCTGGGCCTGTTCAGCCTGGAAAAAAGAGGGGATCTGATCAACATGTACAAGCACCTGATGGGAGAATGTAGGGAGGATGGGGCCAAACTCTTCTCAGTGGTGGCCAGTGACAGGGCAAGGGGTAAGGGGTGCAAGTTGAAACACAGAAGTTCCATCTCCATGTGAGGAAGAACTTATTTGCTGTGAGGGTGACAGAGCCCTGGAACAGGCTGCCCAGAGAGGTTGTGAAGTCTCCTTCTCTGGAGATTTTCAAAACCCGCCTGGATGTCACCCTGTGCCACACGCTCTGGGTGTCCCTGACTAGATGACCTCTATAGGCCCCTTCCAACCTCAACCATTTTGTGATTCTTGTGATGAGGCAGAAAGCTGCTCCACGGGAGCGTGTGGAAGGAGATGGAAGAAACACAGCTCAGAAGCAGCCAGCGCTGAGGGGAGGAGGCTGAGGGAGGAGAAGAAGTATCCGGAATGAATAACTGAGTATTTAAACAATCCCTGGTGACAGCCCATGATCGGTATAATCTACAGAAAACTGCATTCAAGTTAATATCAAAGGGTTCTGCTCTGGAAGGTTAATACTCTATATTCCACAGCAAACCCATGCTTTACCTTCTCATGGGTGCTGCTGGGTGAAAAACAGACACAGACTTTGCGGGAGATGAACCACTGTTAGCAAGCGGTTTGCTTGGAAAACACAACAAATACAGCAAATTTAGTAGGAAGATGGAGTCGAGTGGCAGGGGAAAGAAATAAAAAAGAGCAGAAGGAAAATGAAGAGAAACAAGGAAATCTCCAGCCACAAATAAAAGGAGAGAAAAATTCAAGAAACAGACCTTCTGAGTATGGAGTTGGATGGAATAAGCTTGGATTACAGAACAGAGAAATAGCTTTTCAGTTTTAGTCACTCCATGCCTGGAGAAATCTGGATTCTGTACACACTTACTAAACAAAATATTTAATCAAAGAAATACTTGATTCTAACACTGATTTTCCCTCTTACAGCAGGACATCAAAATTACCTAAGTGCTTAAATTAGAATGAGAAAAGAGCAGAACATAACCATCATCATATCTTTCTATGATTATTTTTGATTTCTTTGTCAGCCCCAAAGCTTAAAAAGAATTTGTTCTTTAAATGCCCCCTAGTATGTTCCTAGAAAAGGAACATACATTTTTGTCACATATGAAGGGGCAGTTACAGGAAAAATATGCAAAACACAGACATACAACACAAAAATACACCAAAATATAAAACTATCTGTTTAAAGAATCTAGCCCTTAGGAATCATAAAATGCCATTTCCAAGTTGCTAATATGATATCTTATATTTCATGTTTACATTAAGAAACACATCTTAAAATATGATGCCTGATGCAAGGAATCACTCATTAAGGTTAAAAAGTCATATTTTTCAACTCTAATTACCACATACTGAAGATAAAAATTACCAGTAACTTGAAAATTTAAGCCAAAACAACAGCTGAAATTATTTCAGACAAAAAACATTTGCTCTCTGTGCTTCTAAAAGCAAGCCCAAAACAGACACTCCGCTTGTGCATCTAAATACTTGAGCACCCACAATCCCTCAAAACCTTTTTGAAAATGTCCTGATCAGGGAAACAGTAGGAAATTGTGGCCTGACAAGCACATAAAATTATCTTTAACACGGATCAACTGACCTTTAACAATCACAGACCAGGTGAAGCAGATTAAGAACTCCTAAGATATGATGGTGCTTTTGACATTTTTACCCCTGTGTTCTTTAGCCTCTAAGAAGACTCTAAATTCATAACTGAAAATAACACACAAAAGTAAGTGCTGTTGCTGGTAACGACCCCCAGCAGCCTCGGGAGGCTCCCGGCGCCCTCCCGCACTGAGAGCGGAGCAGGGCTGCAGCGGCGCCGTCGGGCCAACGCGGGCAGCACCAGAACGCGCAGCCCGGCCTGCTGGCCCGTGTGGCCACAGCCAAGGGCTGCACGAGCGCGTGGGCAGCCTGTGTGCGAGGCAAGCTCAGGTCTGTGCACAGGAAAACCTGTCTGGAGCCCTCGTTTTGCCAAAATTTATGAGGCTCCTTATCTTGACACAGTGGAGTGGCACCTCGGCTTTCCACTCAGCTAAGTGCGTGAGGATTTAGTATTTGGAGGACCTGGGGTCTGAGAGAACTAGATTTCAACAGGAACATTCACAGCACACAGTGTTAGGTCCCATGTGATTTGGAGAAAGCCAACTCATCCTGACTGCGCTTCAGGAGGGCCAGCTCTGAAAATCATCCGGTCGGAGGCTGCAGGCCCATTAAGGGGACCTGGCCCTAAACGCACGACTGAAATCTGAACACTTTGGCTTGAGGTTTTCCATGGCATTTCTAGATCAACCAATCTTTAGCAGGGTTTGTTATATTAAGAGATGGCTTTAATATCCATATACTAGATTTTTGTAGGTTTCAACAAACAAAAGAATATATATTTCCCCAACAACTCCATCACAAACTGAGCACGACATTTTTTTTTTCATACACCTTACAGAACGGCAGTTGACACAGATTCAGCTTTCAAAGAGGTGTTTAACTTACCTGCCAGAAGTCAGCACCAGTGGCAGGGAGAGGGCCCTGGGTGGCAATATATGCAGGGTTCCGGGGGTCGTGGTCCAGCTGGAATAAAGACAGGGAACACAGGCTTTTTTCCTACAGAAATATTCCTGGCTGTGGCAGAGGCAGAAAATAAATGTCAGAGCAGTAACAAGGCCTGATATGTCCCTCTCTCTTTTATTGGCAAGCAGATAATTTTATTTCTAATTATAAGTTCAGAGCAGATCTTTTTCCACAGAAGACTGATGCCACTAGATAAATATCTGCACATATGATGAGCAATGTCCTATGTGCTCAATATATGCAACATAAGAGCATTTATGGTGGCTGACAAAAGCATTTATTTAAGATCAGCACTCGTGGTTTCATAGCAACCTAGGAGCCATCTGAAACATTTTTCGACATCAAGTGCTAAGAATGCCGGGCACATCTATATATGTTCTCCATTTCCACCATGCCAGCCAAGGGCACAGGCAACTAAAAAAGAACAAAACGGGGAACTCATTCAACTCAGAATTCAGTTGCTGGCTTTTTCTGGTTAGCCCATTTGTCTAAGTGCATGGATTTGGCCTCAATAGAACAAGCTCTGCTTAAAGACCTTAATTATAACATTTAATTCAAGGAGCAGAAAATTCACTGAGCAGAAAAAATAAAGAATCTGAGAAACAAAAGCTATCAGGAGTAAATGGGATTAGTGTGCTACAACGAGCATTTTCCATCTGATGGGTGGTTTTCTCGGTTCTCAATCTTAGAACCCATCCTCCTGAAAAGGAAGATCTGCTCATGGGATTAAAACACCCGCAAGCTCATTCTAACCCTGATTTGGGCAAGGCAAAACTTTCCCCATGAAGCAGAAAGGGCCAGTCCAGCTCCCATGTGCCAGGGAAGGCAGCACGAGTTACCTTGGGCCCACGGCGCTGGAGCTGGAGGCAGGACTTGCCTCACTCCAGGCTCTGCTCTGTAAATAAAGCTCCGAATAAGAACGAACGTGAGCCACATTTGCATTAACAGGCATCTACTGAATTTATTCACAGCATATCAAAATTTTCGGTGATGGTAGCGCAAAAAGAAGGCACCTCATAATTATGTGCAACATAAAAGAGGGAAGCACCGTAAAAGAACAGATGTAAGTTATTCTAACAGAACAACTACACAATGAGTGTTGTAAAAAGGAGAACCCCGTGATGCTTCTAATTTTCTGATGTATAATTAAACTGGACTCAATATTAAAATTCTCCATGACAACAAATCACAGGTAAAACAGAGGCACTGGCTCCATAAAAGCTTATTTCTAAACCGCCGCTCCTGGACATACGAAACTTTGACCCGAATGGCTGTAATCCCGTATCCTCTGGTTCTGAGTGCATGTTTCACTCAGATGCTTCCCTTGTCAGCAAACAGCCCTTTGCAATAAATAGTTGCTTGGAACAAATTTCAGCCTTGCTTTCTTTGCCTTTTGGCCAAAGCAACTTTGATAGCAAGGCATTTACTACCACAGGTATTTTGAGATAGGTAAAAACCAGCTTGCTGCCAAATGATGTATTAGCAGAAAAACTCAGGAATCCTTTCAAAGGGCCAACTGTCTCTTCCTTTTGTTTAGCATCGAAAAGTAGATGAAACAAGGGCTGAAATCAGCAGAGAACATGATTAAACAAAAGCCACATTTGAAGTTTTGCGTTGCTCCATTACCACTGAAATAATTTTTTCATTGTTTTGTTTTGAACCCCACAGCAGTATATAGTATTTAAAGTGTTTTAAAGTGTTTTTTTTTGTATTATTCCTAATTTCTTATAACTAATTGCATCTTGGAAAAAGCAGCTACACGGAGCAGGGTTTGCAGCTAGTGGAAAATACTTAAAAATGACGCCACTTATCCAACCTGTGAGTTCAGGAGCTGAACTCTGAAATCAAACTGCCAGGGAATACACTAAACTTTATTAAAATAATAATTTACTTTGAATTTCTTCCCAAACCAAATTCTTTTGTATGAAGACAAGGCAGAAAACAAAGGCAGAAGAAATCCAGGCTGATGTAAATAGCACTGTCACCGAGGAGAAGCCTCTAAACATCCAGCTGATAAATCAGGACCAGGCCGTTCTTGGCATTTCAGCATTAATCAACCTCTGTCACAAAGGTGCTGTTGGAACGTGGCAAACATTACAATAAGCACCGAGCAGCCAAGTGGAGCCGCAGCTTAATAATAATTCAAAAGACAATTACAATTATTACATTCCAAGCACATTGTGCCGCACAGAAAACAATTAGGAGCAGAAACGTTGCTTGCTCGGAGCAAATAGAGGATGGCAGAAAGCCCCATCACACTGTTAGATGATCTTCAACTTAAGAAATATAAGAACAAAGATTAAATTAATTAAATGAAATTTCTGGCTTCATCAATTTTTGAAAATATGCACTGCTTTAAAGGCCAAGAAAAAACATGAGAAATCACTAGTTTGGTCACATTCAATTTAAAGTGATTAGCTGACTGCAAGGTTCTTGAATTTTTTCCTTATTTTATTTATGTATTTTTAAAAATTTTTTCAGGGTCACCCAAAGCACTAAGGGCATCTTAATCTTATCAAACTTAACAAAAATTTGCAGAAGAAATAAAGTCAGAAATTGGTTTAAAACAAATGGATCAGGGATAAAGTAAAAGGCTTTTTCATGTCAGTAGTTTTAATGTTCTTTCAAGGATCCCTCGCATTTCTCGCTTCACTAAAATAAAACAGAAAATCCAGAGAATTTTCTCCTACAGATAAGAAGGGAGAAGAGCAGACTCTGTATTATCAAAAATTAAAACAAGGAACCACCGTTGACTAATATTTTCTGCAAAAACGATCATCAAAAATCACTGCCATAGTAGTTTTCAGTAAGAACAACTACTTTTCCCTTTGGTAAAAATCCTTGATGGAAACCCCTGCCAAAGCACAAAGCTCACACGAACTACATCAGAACTAGACAGAATGGCGATTTTGGGAAAGAAAAACTTGCAATTGTTACAACTGCTCTACTACAGTGGAATTCTATATTTTTTGAAACAGAATTGTAAGGACAAGGTCAGGTGATCAATCTGTTTTTCCATGATTTAGAATTGGGAGGGGGGAACAAAAGAATCAAAGAACACTACAAATGATCATGAAATATTAGTGGTTTAGTGATTTTGGCCTCTATCACTGTCAAAAGTAAATGGAAAAGAAAGGATGAGCAAAAATCATGGCTGCAGTATTTTTGGTCCCATTCAGATTTTCCTGTCAGAAATGCTACAGAAGTTTGTCTCAAGCAACTCTCAAACATTAGGTAGGTTAGTGGCACAACCCATCTTTTTCTACAGAGCTTTATAATGGAAGTTGATTTACAGCACCTTGAAGTAAGAACATATATATCTAACGAACATAGTGTCATAGGTGCATCTGACTTTCATTACATGAATATCAGGTCACAATTCCACTTTTGTTTTCTTAGAAAAACAGGATTTTTTCCTGCAAAAGCTTCACTATCCCACTGCTCCCCTCTGATCTCCCTGAAGACTCTGCATTTCATTGATGTTTTTCAAAAACATTGTATGTGATTTCACTGATAAGGCTGACAAAATGCAGCAAAATGAATACATTCTGTGAGTAAATTGGGATTTAAGAGTGGTTACCTATACATTCTTGTACTTCAAAAAAGAACAACCCTGCAAAGTGTCAATACTATGCAATAATGACCCTGTGGAAAGCTTATGTAAAAGATACACTGATTCATTCCTGCCTTTTACCTTCCCCCTCGGCTTGTCAGATCCACATTTCCCAAGCACAGGAAGATGCAGGGTGAGAGGTGACCTCAGCCACACTGTATTTACCTTAGTCTAAAGCCTCTCACTCAATATATCAACCGATATATTCCTAAATCACATGAGATCAGAATGAGACCCAACATAAACTAAATGTGATGGAAAGAAAGTTAAGCTCTGATTAATGTCTTAAAAATTTATATAGGATCAAGTAAGTGGGTAGTTTTCAGTTTTAATATGTTTATAAAAGCGATGAAATCTACTTTCCCATACCTATTTATTAAACAGAGCATAAACAGCCTCCAAAATTTGATTTTTTTCTGTAGAAGGCATGTCTAGCAAATGCAGATAAACTTTGCAATCACATTAATCTCAACGTTAAAATTAAAAGGTAGATTAGCCCTCATCTTTATGCTTGAATTAAAAATTAAAACAATTTTAAAATCCTTATTTTAAAACCCCTAATGGAATGAAAGAAGCAAATCTGGTTGCAAATGCCATTATGAATTTCAGAGTCTATTCTTGGCGATAAAATTTGTATGCTGTGTTTGAGCAAACTGTCATGTTAATGACATTCCTCAGTCTGGTGTCTTCAATAACAAGCAAACTGAGTTTTTAAATGTAGTTGATGGGATTTTTTTTCCTCCCTGAGACGCCCTATGAGGAAAAACAGAATTCCCATTTACTTTCATGACCTCTGATTTAAAAGCAAAGATTGCACATTATTTACTACCAGATGATTTCCCCGAAATTTAATGAGGACTAAGTACAAATATGACAGATGTAATTATCACAGTTTTATTCTGCACAGTCAGGGTCTCCTTGTGCTGTAATTGCAAGCTTTTCATTCAGCTGCCGACAGCGCAGTTATTATCATAGCACTTGATGGCACTGCAGAGAGGAGGAAAACAGATTTCCTCCCCGGTGTTGCCCTGTGAATTCTTTCGGGAAGCCTTTTTGCTTGACCTCTCGCTGCAGCGCTGCGGACTCCGGCTGAGCGTCCCCGCGGAGCGTCCTCGCCCACCTCGGAGCGGCCGGAATCAAAGCCCGTTTCCACAGTCTGCTGGGGGAAGCAGGGCCCGAGGGGGGAGCGTTTTTCAAAAGGAAGAGCCACGTGGGCAGGCGGCCAGCTCGGTGCCCAGCGCGGGCGCTCTCCTCCTGCGCCCTGCTGCCCTCCTTCAGGCTTCGGCTGAGCTGAGTGAGCCCCAGATGGAGCCTGGACCACTGACCCCGAAGCTGGAGCTGCCCCGCAACATCTCCGTGCCTGGAAGGCTCCGTTCTGCAGCTCCAGCATCATTATTTTGCACTGTTCCCTCATCAGACAGCTCACACGTGTGGGGAGAAGGCAGATGCTCCCCTTGCCAGGTCAGGCCGTAGCGGGTGGGTGTTATAGGGCCTCCCTTGCAGCTCGCTCTGCTCCTCCTGCACAGCACTGGGTTGACATGATAATTAACCCAGGATAGGGAAGTTGAAAGGTGGGAAAAAAAAAATGGAAGGATCTCTGCAAGAGCAGATAAAGGCAGACTCACTAGTACTCCAGATCTGCCCCACACTTAGAGGCATTGATCAAATGTGTGTCTGCCAAAGGAAAGTATCTCAAATAAACAGCAGGAGTAACAGCCTACATGCCAAGCTCAAGCTGCAGCACTTGCACAGTCAAAGTAAACACGGCAGAGTCAAGTGCCCAGCACAATATTCCTGTAGGATGCTGAGGTGGGAAGGACTGAAAGCCTCTGGTGGGAAGGACTGAAAGCTCCTATGTTCTACTTTGTTATATGAAAACAAGGGCCGGATTAAAACATGTGCTTGCAGCAACCTGAAAATGTTTCATCTGCCTTGAAATGAAACAGCTTGCAGGGAATCCTTCCAAACTAGGGGCTTGCAAAGTAGTGACTTCTCCTAGTTACCTCCGGCTGCATCACCTTCAGGAAACACACCTTGCACGGATGGCTTGAAAAACAGCCCTCACTGAAGTGGATGTGGAGCATCTCCTTCCTTGGAGTAACACAGCTCTGAATGGGGGCTGGGGCATTCCTCCTCATCCAGCAGTATCCCTAATCCTGCCCAGAAAAAGAGGAACACAGAGTTTCCCTTTGCAGTTTTCCATGGCCATGCAAGATGCTGCCTGCATGTCCCAAGCCAAGGAAATGCCTGTGTGTTCCCGAAGCTCTGAGCATACAGGTAGCAGTGGCACAGACACAACTCGCAGGTTTACTAGTGAGCACAAGCAGAAGAATTTTGCTTCACCGGTCAGCAGTGTGACTTATTTAATTGGACAAATCTCTGTGCCTAGAAAAATAAAAACATGAAAAAGAAATACAATGCAGAAGGAACTATCCCTACGTGTTGGATGGAAAGTCAAGATGACAAATCTCTGTAAAACCATTGAAGTTAAAGCTACTGAAGCAGAGACTCTGCTTGCATTAGCTTGGGGCATCCTGAGAAAGCAAATCTGTTCCCAGCTGCGTCCATGGGATCTGTCTCCCTGTTCACTAAGACTTCTCCATCTAATTCTTTGCTCATCAGTGTAATTAAGGGAACTAAGGTAGGAGCTGTACTGAAGCCCCAGACCTAGATCTCTGTGCATGATTTCGTAAGGCAGATTCATCTCTTGAGCTCCAACTCACACTGATGAGCTTCAGACCCTGGAGCTACCTGGACCTTGGTCCAATCAGAGACACAAAATAGTCTAAAACACGCTCTGATCTGTGCACATCTATCCTGCTCCTCTAAAAAGGCAACTGGCAATTCCCAAAGTGAGCATGTGCTTTGCCCTCTACTCTAAGCTAAAGACACTGGTGATATATTTAAATAGGATACATCTGTGTAGCAAAAGTATTCAGTTACATCTATCAGCTTTAGAAAATAATGTTCCCCAGTGCAAAAACCTTCATGAAAATACGACACAACTGCATCCCAGAGATTTCAGTTGGGTTCTGTGTATGTTTTAGGTCTTTGAAAGAAACATTTTTATATATTCTCCAGGAAATAAGTTTTTAAACTCTGCTGAAAGTAACAAAGCTCACAGAACAGTTCCTATGGATTTAGCTTTTTTTTTTTTTTAATGAAAAAGTATTGTCAACAAAATTGGAAGGAAGCAGCCTGTAATTTCACGCTATTACAAATTGTTAGATGCCTTGCCCACACAAAGTGATTTAACTGGGGAAGTGATACTCCCCAGGAAAATGAGCTAGTAATGACATACGCAGCCTGCTAGAGTGAAATCTAATTTTTCATCCTAAATTCCTGCTCAGAACAGTTTTCTTTTAAGAACTTTTCAGTGCCTAAGTAATATGAATGCAACCCTTTGGCACTTCCACTGACCGCACGACAGGGCAAACCTGCTGGCTCTATCATACCTGCTTTTTGTCTAAAAATAGAGACCGTTTCTCTTCACCACCATTAACAGACGAAAGAGGTTTCGCATTCAGCTTATGTAGGTGACAAAGGGCAGCTGGGCCACGCTGGAGTATTTGGAAGCAAAAACTGCATCGACTTATTCTGCAGTTTGAACAAACATGCAAGGGGTAAAGGATTTTGTTCCTGCTGTCAAACCAGCAAGACCAGAGAAGAACCAAGAGAGTTGGAGACAGACAACTATTCCTCAGCAGGGACCAGATGAGGAGAAGCCAGAAGTGTCACTTTGGAGCTCAGCTCTGCACAGCTACAGCTGCCATTCTTCGTTAGCCATTAGACCAATGCAAAAACGAACAAATGTTTGAGGAGGAACAACAAGCAAGCTTTACCTCCTCAGAGAAGGAAAAGCAACACTGAGCTAAGGGTAGACTGTTGAATTTTTTGACTGATATTAATATCAAATCCAAAAAATCTGACAGTATGATGATGAGACAGAAGGATGACTATCTAGTGATTTTCTTCTCTTAGCATCTTAGTATCCTTTGTTAACAGCCTTCAAGGGCATTGCAAACACATGCAGGACATTTGTTTCTCTTCACTTTCAAGGGACACCCTGAGATGTTTGCATTGTCTGTGCAGGGAGGTGCCTCACGTCAGCATACTCTAATGCTGGGGAAAGACAAAGACTGATTATTTGTATTATTTCTCATGGGGCTTTGTACTTACAATTGGGCTAGCATTGATGTAGTCTGAATTGTCGTGGCTGTTTTCAGCTTTCAAACATATCCTGGAATGGTCATCTGCAAAGGCAAAATACAGACAAGAAAGTTTCTATAAATGTTTTCTAACCATTTTAGGTTAAACAAATATATTAATGAGCATTTTAAGGCAAAGTGTAAATAGCAGACAGTATATTTTCTCCTTACTTGTAACTGAGCACAGCCTTCATACAGCCAGAGTTGCATCTTAGCTCAGGAGTAAAGCTCTTTGAGATATTTCAGAGGCTGAGCATCAGAAAATGTGTTCTCATGAGATGTCTCATAATGTGTTGCAACCACTCATAAAAAGAAGGGGAATCCCTATTGCTTAGAGATTTCAAGATTTAAACTGGAAAAAACATCAGAAAGCAGCATAGAGAATACACTTATGTTTGCAGGGTCGTAAAAGAAGAAAAATGATGAAGCTTTTCCATCTGTCTGCTCCAGAAAACAAAAGGCAGAAACATCAAAGCACACGTCAGAGCTGGGCAGTAAGGTGACGTGTCCTGATCAACGAGTGCAGCACAGCGCTCCTCCAGCCATGGGAGAAACGCCACGATCTGCAGAGCTTCTGGGAAACCCGGAACGCAGGCAAAATCCCCACTGAAAGGCAGGGCTGGAGCACGCACAGACCTTCCCACACTACCAGCCACGGAGCTAGTCCAGACACCATTAGTGAAGAAATCAGAGCATCTCTGGAGACGGGAGGAGTGCTCGTGTTAGCCCATCGGCAAGATTCTGTCACCCGTTTTTTTCTGGCACTTTTGCCATGCTGGTTCAATCACATTCACTGTATGTGGCCCCAAACTCTGCAGTCTTTTCTTTGACTGCAGAATATATATATTCTGTGTGGGTTTTATTCGCCTCTATTTAGATGGTGACAATGCAATGTCTGAGTCTGTTTCAGTCATCTAGTCTCACTTTTTGCTATTAGAAAAAAAAAGCAAACAAAGAAACAAACAAAGAACACTTTAGGTCAAGAGTCCTCACCCTATTTAACTGTCTAAAACAGACCAGATGAACCGAGTTCTGAAAGTGCGAGTCCTCACCCTATTTAACTGTCTAAAGCAGACCAGATGAACTGAGTTCTTCCATTTCTTTTCAGTGACTATAAAAAGCAGAGAACCAGACCATATGCGGCTAATTTATGTGAGAGATGTCTAAATCTTGACAGATTAATCTCAAGCAACTCGTATCCGATACAAAACTAGAGCAATTTATATTTTTCAGTAAACCTACCCTGCACTGTGTGTGGTGGGGAGAGGCCTTGGAGCTGCTGTAGAGCTTTAACACTCCTCCGTTGAACACAGACACTGATGTTTGGAGGGGATCTTTCTAACAATTATTTGAAGAGCCAAAAAATGTGGGTCTATCCATGCTAGAGCTTTGTATCCTGTCTAGGGGTCCATGACACCCTCCTTCATAGCACTGCAATTACAAGTTGGCTTTTTAAATTACTAAATCCTAATTATTATGTTAATAATAAAGAACAACAAAAGGGATATTAAGTGTCTTAAGTAGTACGCAATAAAATCAAAGAGTTTGGACTGTGCTTACATTTATTCACCAGGAATGTCATGGCAGTCCAATATACGAGTAAGACAAAGATTAGAACATCATATTCTATAATTTTATAGAACATTATTTGTAATCTCTTGATCTCACCAATAAAATATAACACAGGAACGTGACCATGCTGGAGCAAGACTAGAGATGCCCAAGTCCTGTCAAGTGAATGAAGAACCCTTCTTTCCTGTTCATGCAAAATTATTGCTATTGCAAAGTTTCAAGGAGGACTACGAAGCAAAGACAGGGAACAAACATATCCACATTAATCACTTCCAGCTTCCCTTAGGCCCTGCAGCACAAAAAGAAAATCCAAGACATAAAAAGAGCTGGTGACACCTGATGTCTGGGAGCTCCCAAGGCTGCTTATGGGAGGCTCTAGGGTACCACTGCCCGAGTGCCTGAAGAAGGACCTTGAAACCTTGGGGCTACAGTAGCCAGGCAGTTTAAACACACTAAGTGTGGTCTGCTGGCAACTCTTCCATCTCCTAAGCTATGTAAGCACTTAAGAGAAGCCCTGCCCACTGGATAGCAAAATTCGTTGAATGAGCTGATCAACAAAGAGAACGTGATGAAGCATTTTCAAGTGATGGAAGAGGGAGCAGACGGAGATTCAGCAGCGTTCAGCAAACATATTAGCTTAACCCTTCAATAAAAAGTCAAGAGTCAGACCAGTAAGTTCAGGAATGAGATTTTTAAAACATAATGTCTTACTCTCAACTTCCACTTTAGTGTACCTTACCACAGGTTTATCAGAGGTGGGACGTTAAGACTTTGGCGTTGAAAACGTGGCAAGACTTTATGCTTGCTCTCAGAAAAAAAATATGCAAAAGAGGCTGTACATGTGTTTTCTGTATGTAATGAGAATTTACACCCTTGCTTAAGTTGCAGCACTGAGCGTTTGCATTGACAATGAACAGCTTGTGCCTGTCTATGCCTGTTACCACCTCAAAGCTCCCAGGAACCAGCATAATAGCTCTTCAGAAACAGGCAACAAAATGGGGACATCAGTTTGTTATGTTAACAATAAGCAACAGTGGGGACAAGGCCGGATGCACAAGGTTCCTTTTGTAAACTGCATATTGATTATGTTGCAAAGCAAGCAAAAAGGAGCAGGAGGAGTCGCGAAAAATGGGGGAAGGCAGGGCAGGAGAGAAAAGGAAGAAATCTAAGATCAATCTAAAAAGCAAGCTAGAAAGAAGAACAAAGAAAGGAGAGGGAAGGTAATAAAGAAGTGAGAGAAAAAAGAGAGGCTGTTCCTAGCGACTGTAATCTGGGCAACCTGCAACTAGCCCTCACTTCAAGTAACTACAGTAGTTACTGTATGAACTGTATTGTATGAGTGAGGGGGTTACTTGCCACCGAGGAACTCTGCTTCGCTCAGGGCTACAGTTGAGCTCACTTACTCCAGAGCACGTTGCCCTAATTTGTATTGAATCCAGTGGACACAGCTAGGGTGGACAACTAATAGAAATCACTGTTTTTACAGGTGTCAGCTGCAAAAGGGCTTTAAAGAAATGAGCTACTTAAAGCATAACTATATAAATACACACACACACACACACATATATATAGCATACATGTGTAGACACATATATAGGTATATATGCAGTATTGACCATACTGAGATGCTTTCACTTTGCAGAAATGCATGCCAGGAAAATTAAATATGAAGAGGTGTATGAACAACTGAACTGCCAATGTGTTCCTACCATAAAGAAGGCAACCCATACCTCCAAGTTATACCGTAAGTAACTCCATAAGTTATACCAACTTGTTTGCTAGCTGGATAAAAAGATGGGAGTTTTATTGACCCAGGATGTCTGTGTCACAGAATGTCTGTGTCACTAGAGGTGTGAGATTTTTTTAAAAATTAGTAATTCATTAAGTGCAATGTCAAGGTGTTCCACCACCATGTATTTTAGAAGATGTGTTTAAGAAGGTAAGCTAGGTATAAGAGTAAGCTATGAGGAAACTGTGAGCTTGAAGGTAGTATTACTATAGAAATGACATCAGCTGGGTAATCAGTAAAAAGTAATATGCTAATATTGCAAGATTAGTTAAGAAAGGAAATACAAAATGATATTAAAGCCTCTTTGAAGCCTTCCTAAAATGAAGTATTTTCCAAAGTTGGTCTTCTTTTACCTTGTCAAGGTGATGATGAATATGAAGCATACCAACTCTGCAGCATATCAAAAACATATCAACTTTGCTTCTTAATTGAGGCTGAAGTAAACCTGTGACTTCTTGCTATGGTTTTAGTCCCAAATCTAATTAAAAAAAAAAAAAGTGGTCTAACTGGGCTCTTTTTCATCTGATTCTAATCTTAGAGTCTGTAATAACCACCATCTTACCAAAGTTTAGTTGTTTAAAGTGCATGTCACACTTCACACACCATCAAAGTAGTTTTAGGGTATAACATGACAGCTGTTTACCAGCGCAGAATAAATTAGAGAAGGACAGGCAATTTTGTGCAATTCAGGTAAAAAAAAAGAAGGAAAATTCCAAGTGCACTAACAGCCCTGACAGAATCAGCTAAGAAATAGCATTTTCACTCTTATGTAAGTGCTAAGGGATTTTAAATGTGCTCCAATATTCCTAATTAAAGCTTCAGATGAATCCCCGGCAGGCAGCCCGGCTGTGTGCGGATGGGCAGACATCCCTGCACACCGTGCAGGAAGCCGAGGGCAGGAGCTGAGGGCAGCGCAGGCCGAGTCAGCCCCACAACAGGCCCTCTTAGCCCTGAAGACAGTTTGGCACTGCAGCGTGGCACTCACCGGGCCTAAATCCCTGTCCAGGTAGGCTGAGGGGCTCTGCGCTCCTGCTCGTCGCATCGTGCGGCCACATTTGCCACATGGACACGGGGCAGCAGCTTGGGCAGCACCTGCCACCCCGGGGCGGCCTCCGACGCAGCACCCGAGAAGCACCCGCTTTAACTCAGGAGCAGCCACTTGGAAGCTCAGGCTGTTCTGCCTGTAAGCCCATTTTGACAAAAGCCCTTTAAGCAGGAAGATCAATTTGGATCAATAGACATTATCAGGGAGCAATTATCACTTCCTATTATGCAGGTAGACTTTTTTTTTAAAATCAGGATATGAAAAAAAATTTAGAAATCTGGCACTCCTCTAACTTCTGTGGTTATTTTTTTGGAACTTTTCAACAAACCCGGTAACGAAACCCACTGAAGTCAACAAACTGTTGCTGTTTATCCCAGCAGACTTTTGCCCAGTGCCATATTCACTCTGGAGAACTGACACTGCCCAACTATTATCCCCTTCCCCAAAGCTGCAGAGGCTGCAAAAAAACCCTCTATATTAACAAGAGCCAAATCCTACTGAAACAAATAGGCAAGCACTGATGGGCTCTGTTAAATGATCATGTAGTTCCAAACAGTTCTTCCCTCTAAATCTGGCTCTGACATTGACTTAATGTATTACCTGTCATTTCCCCATTTCTAAAAGAGGAATAGCACTTACTCATGGCTCTCATAGGGAAAATTAATGTTTGCAGGGCACTTTAAAAATTAAAATAGCTCTATATTTTTGCCAAGCTACCCAGCTGGATTGTGGGCACACTGATTGAGAACATTTTTGTCGCTGTGGTCTGTGCATATATTCTCAGTTTCAGTTTTGTTTCACTGGTTGCTTAATAAAATGTGTGGCCCATACCAATGTAATCTATGCAATACATACATTTGCATAGGGAAAATATGCTGCTTTATTTCAGACTCACAAAGGTGGCTGCTTACGGAAAAGAGCAGATTCTAGGAACATAAATATTGGCTGCATTCTTCTTCTCTTTCATCCGAAGCCTAGCAGAGAGAGGCCAGTCTGCAAGCTTATCCACGGAAGCCTAAAGGGGGCTCATTGAGTACAGCTGAGTGGCTGATAAACACATCGCTCTGATTATAGACTGCTGCTATTACTGTTGGATGGACATGATACCGACTTGGCTAAGCCCAGCCAAACTTCCTTCTGCTGAACGGCTGCAGATGCTGCCCTTGTACTCCGTTCCGGCGCTGAAAAGTGCCCTGGCTATTGAACCTCGTGAGCCAGTGCAGCTGCAGCAGCAGCACTGTGCGACACAGCTATGCCGTTCACAACACACAGGCAACTTATAAGGAGATAAAATTGTGTCCAATATGACAACAGCACATGCAGCCAATCAATATTTATAATTATGACTTTCTAATGCACACACACACTGCTCTGTACAGTGCCTGCCTGTCAACTGCAGCTAAGTATCGTGCAAAGGATATTGAGGAAAGCGTCACAAACTTAAAACGCAATCACCCAAATTAAAGGGTACATACATGGCACCACAGCCTGCGAGCGATTCTTCTGGGTGTTCTCCTCCCGCTGTGCAATGACGGCGGCGTTCGGTTCAGCCTGATAAGCACATAGAGCTTCCCACTCTTTCTCCAGACGATTCTTGTTTTTCAGATGATCTTCCATGTAGGACTGGAATTAAAAGAATATTGTATTAAGCACTGACCTATCCAGACTCAAAGGATATACATCAGGATAGAAAGCAGAGATAGTAAGAACTAGTATGTAATTTAGGACTTCTATAAATAAGTGAACTCTGAACGTGTTTCCACCTTTCCAAACTGTCAAAAACTCAGATACTTCAACCTAAAGAGAAGAATGAAAATCAGAGCATGGGGATTCTGAACCTTATCACCAATCTAATTGTTAAATGATTGATTTAAGTGAGTTTATTTCTAGCTCTAACATGTAAAGGTGCTAGCTCTACTGAGAAGAAATGCTTGAAACCTCCAGACGCAGAGCTTCAGGAACAAGCTATTTCTTTTTTTGAAGCACAATGTCTTTTTCATCAGGTGATGAAAAGAAGCAAAAGTCCATTGGTAAGAACTACTTATCAATACAACAAAAGCTCAAGACTGACCAAAGATTTTTATAACAGAAGTTCAAGTATGTAGACAAGTTGTAAGAAATCTGAATCATCTTCAGTATAGCTAAGTGAATTAAAAACGTGCTAAGTGATACAAAAAACACCATTGAAAGATAAAACCAAAACGAAAAACAACAGGTTTTCTTCTACTACTTGGGAAAATAATGGGATGAGGGAAAAGATTTCTCCAAAGGGTTTTGGGACTAGCTGTCCATGCTCTTTTGGAGATGGGGAGAAAGGCAAGTTCTGTCACCCTGTCTTGCTTCTCCTCCATCTGGACACAGCGGAGGCAGGGAAGGGAGGCTGAGGGGCTCAGAACCACGATCATCTTCAGCCACCCCTAAGCAGGGGTTCAAAGCAGTGGAGGGGCAGCCAGGTTCAAGGGGGCCAACTACTGCTTCTCCTTCCTCCTCCTTTACCAGTGAGTGACTGAAGCTTGCAACGAGTCTGGCTGTACGGACTTTTCAGATTAGGAAAAATATTCTCTGCTAGTGCATGTTTCTCAGCGCAGCACTCGTGTTTGGGATGCAGGGCAGGAAGGGGAAAGGTGCCAAATTGCTCCTGGACACCTCGCCAGCCTTGCCCTTTCCTTTTGGCCTGCCTGACTGGTCTGTAACAGGCTCTCTCGTGGCTGGCAGAGGACTTCTAAAATTAAAACTTCTCATTGCTCTGGTTTAAGATGAAGTGTCATTGCTGGGTCATTAAGAACTCAGGAACTGGCACAGAGAGGGCCTGAGCTGAGAAGGTGGTGTTAATTAGTTAATTTAATCATCGGTCCCAGAGATGATGGACCATCAGAGTATACTGGTGCAGATCTTAAGTTTCTGCAACCTTCATAAGGCTGGGGATTCAGTACAGCTCTGGGAAGACACGTGGTTCCCAAGGCTGCCAAAAGTGAAATAACGCCCTACTCCATCACCCCATGGCCCTGAAAATTGTAACAAGTGTGTGAGGGGAAGGCAGCAGAATGGAGGGAGCGTGGGGAAGAATGGAAATCTTTCCCCTAACTTTAACACTTAAATTCTGAAAATTACCAGTGGGTACTGAAGTCTGTTTGTACAACAAAAATACCTTTCAGAGGGTATCCTTTCCTACCAAATTTAGCAAGAGAATAATCTCACACTACACACAGGAGAGTATTTGTAAACTAAGCGGCATACTACCCTTACACAGGAGGTTGAAGCTAACATCCTTAAACAGATTTAAAAGGGATAAACCAGTTAGGGGACAAGCTCAGGCTCTGGAAGGACACAGAGAGCAGGGCTGCAGACCCAGGGACCTTAGGCCCAAGCACCAAAGCGGCTTTTAGCTAAAAATCCACAGCCAAATCTGCTCCTTTAGAAACTCTCCCTGGTACAGCTAATTTTCCAGTAATACATGCCTAGAAAATAACTCCTGGAAAGGATTCACGGAAAAGTATAAAGGGCAGTTTAATTTCTCAGAAAACTTTTTATATAGCCGATCTCTACTACATCATCCCAAAAACATTTCACAGAAGAAAGGGCTATCATGCCCTATCAGCAGGTTTCTCAGAGGGTGTCAAAAGCTCCAGGCTGCCTTCTGCCAGGGAAGCGCTGCTACAGCCGCCGCCTCATCCCGCTTCCCGCCGCAGGAGCGGGGCGGGCTGCTCTTCTCCCCTGTGGACTGAAGACTTTCCCGGTTCAGTGGGAGCTGCTGGCAGACTGCTTTGTTTTGGGCAGCCCACACACCGACTGCGCCATCGCTTGGGTTCCAAAATAAAGGGAAAGCTTCAGGCTGGGCCCGGACGGGGCTGACAGGGACCTAGGAGGGCTGCGGAGCTGGCCTGGCCCTGCCGTGAGCCCGGGAGCTAAAGCGCCCTCAGCAACAACACGGATGAAGAGCTGAACAGCCTCCTCCTTCCTCTGAGTAGATCTGCACCTGAGCATGTATGTTGAACACAATCAGAAAGAGGCAATTTCTCACATGTAGAGAGCAATTGGCACATACATACTTATTTATTTATTTATTTTTGTGAGGAAAAGGGGGCAAAACTGTAATCTTGCAAAACTAGTGAACCAAGATTGTCAGCTTGGGAAAAGCTGTTCAGCGTAGAGAGCAATTGGCACATACATACTTACTTATTTATGTATTTATTTATTTTGGTGAGGAAAAGGGGGAAAAACTGTAATCTTGCAAAACTACTGAACCAAGATTGTCAGCTTCGGAAAAGCTGTTCAGCATGTGACAGCCAGAGATCAGGCAGGCAAGGACCCACCCGCAGCCTCTTCCCGTTTGAAGCCAACTTGTATAATCTGATTCATTCTGGCCTCCCATCACCAACGTCTCGCAGACTTCAAGGACATCTCTGCGGTATATGGGGCTGCCTGCGCTGGATCTCTCCACATCACCGTGAGGTCGGTGACACTGTACGAAGAGCTCCCTGAACACCTGATTCCTAAAGCTGGGCTCGACAGAGTAAGGAGCTTCCTGGCTGGCTCCAGCTTGTCTGTTTGATGATCTCAAGCATTTTATCTTAAAAATTAGTGTTTTTCAAAAATTGCTAAGTATGATTGTAGGTAAGATATTCTGACTGCAGGCAAAATTTTAAATAACTCATGTCTCCTTAGAGAAAGGAAGTCTTTAACTTTCATCTTATTATTTCATGGACTATTTGAGTATCCGTACCAAAGAACGTACAAATGAAAATAAAGTGAAATTTTACGTTTGACTGGGCAACCACTTTTCGTGCAGTGTCAACATCTAAGGCACATGGATCAGATCCAGAGGCCACTTCCTAACAGAAACTGAGGAGGCGTTTGGCTCTTTGCATGGACTTGTGCAGCATGAACATCTGCTGTCCACACATGTCTAAGCAACTACTGATAAAGAAGCTTCCTTAAAAACTTCCACAAGTCGGACAGTTAAGTGGTCTTTCACTTCCAGCCCTTCGGAGCCCCTACTCCCATTCCCACTTTGCTAACCAGGAGCTTAGCGATTTTGAAATATTCTCCTGGGAGCAGCATTAAACTGAGTGGACTTTCTGGTATTTTAGAGATAGCATGTCTACTGAAACGCACTCTTTAATTAGGAGGTTTCCATGAAACATTCTGCTGCGTTTGCCTGGTATAAAACAAATTCATTACCAGCATGTCAAACACACATGAACCTCACTGTCCCACAGCAGCAGGCTGAATAAATAGAGGTTGTCACCAGGAACACTCCTCCAAGCAGCTGTGGAAGGCAGAGGTCTGGTCTCACCGAGGTGTCCACAACTAGAACTGCACATGCTCCTGCTTAGACAAACACTATCCACTGGGCCAGACCTCCCCGAGAACCTCAACTTCCATGAAATCCTCCTTTTCCCTCAGCAACATGTACAAGAACAGGTTGCCCAGTTCATGCTTTTTCTTGTACGCATAGATGAGACGGTCTTGTTGCCAAACATTTTAAGGGGAAAAGGAGCGTGCAAAGTCCCCTGCTCTTCTATTAGTGTATGTGGAAAAGGGAATGCGTTTTAAAATCTACTGTCTTCTCAGTAAAGATTTATATGTAAGCCCTGTGAGGCATGGCAATTCTGTGGGAAAAGGAGAGCTCTCCGCCAGAGCATGAGAAACTGGTCCAGGGACCATGGATCTCTGGCCAAGAAAAGTGGCACCAATAGCAAATGTAAAGGCAGATTCAGCATGGATTCGGTGAAGAGCCATGCGAGCTCAGCTGATGTTGCACTGTGATCCACGCTACTTGGTTTTCTTTATTCAACAAGCTGCTTCCAGCACATGTTCTGAGGGTAAATTAAAGTTGACAAATATCAAAATTAAATTTTAATTGTCTGGCCAATCTCCCAATACCTCTTCAGAGCTACTACGAATTGCATCGGCCAAGATATTTGTTTTAAAAACACCTGTTTTCTTAGCTGATGGTCAGCTATTACAAAAAGCAATTATTTTGGACAACACAGTCCCCTTACGGTGCCCGATCGGATACCCTCTCCATGGCTGCGATGTCGCTTTCAATGAAAAGCCGGGCAACGCTCACATTGACAGACCTCGACAGGTTTAATCTAATCTCAAACGTCAGCTTAAGAAGTGGATGGGACATGATCCTAATCCTTGTGAGCAGCGACCACTCCAATCTCCCCCCTGCGCCTAACAACACGAGGGCCACTGCGCTGCAGCAGCTGCTGCTTTCTCCAAAGGCGCCGTGAGGAAACTCAAACACAAACGTGGTGCAGCAGAGGCTGCTGAGGCTGCTATGGTCTCGGGTGGAGTATGGGTGAGCACAGAATTGTTGCCACCTAATTTTCCCTTTCTCTAACAACGAAAATTAGGTCTAGCTCACCAGCTCCCATTGCCCCCTAAATTTGATGGTTTTCATGCTCAGTCTCTGCTCCTTTTGCAACATTTGCCCTGATATATATAGATAGATAGACAGATACACACACACACATATATATCAATTGCAGCTGTGTGCTAAATACTAAAGACTGCTCTTGAAATGATTCATTTGTTTTATTATTCTCTCCAACTGCCTTGGAGATTTACCTAACGACCTTGGCTAGGTTTTTAGGTGCTTTGTATCTAAAGAG